CCGGCGGGCGGCGGGCGCTGCAGACCCTCCAGCGCCCAGGCCGTGCACCGCCGTCAGTGGGCGCGGCGGGAGGGAGCAGCGCGCGCCGCAAGCCGAGGGCCCCGCCCCCGCCGAGCCTGAAAACGCACGTCGGGGCCACCGGTCAGCCCACGGAACGTTCCCGACAGGCGGTTAGAACGATCCGGAGCCCATTTCGCCACCGGGGAGCTCGGGGCCCGGCGTGGTGAGGGAGGGCCCAGGGCACAGGTCCGAGTCGGGACGGACCCCCGCAGCGGCCTCGGGCACTCCAGCGCGGACCCCCGCCCCCGCCCCCGCCCCTCTGTCCCCGCAGGCGGTGGTCGGCGACTCGGAGTACCACCACTTCCGCTACCGGATCCCGCCGGCGCGCGTGCGCCTCTTGGAGGTGGGCGGGGACCTGCAGCTGGATTCCGTGAAGATCTTCTGAGACCCCCGGGAGGCGTCCCAGGAATGGCAAATAAAGTTTCAGCCCACGTCTGTGCGCCTCTGTGTGTCTGCGCCTCCTGCGTGGAGACGCGGAAAGCGGGTTCAGAGGGGCGAAGACTCGGGCTAAGGGTCCCACCGCGGTTGCGCGGCCGCGGCGGGCTGCGGGACCGGCTCTGGGAGGCCAGCGCGCGTCGGGCTGTGTCTTGGCTCGTCTTCCAGCCGCACTTTGCAGAGCAGCGCGGCGGTGTGCGGGTGGGGGGACCCGATGCGGTTGGGAGCGGGCTCGAGCTCCCCTTGGCGCCCCCTGTGCGGAACAACAGAGCTCCATGTGGGTGGTGCATCTGCAAACGGGGGAGCGAGTCCCCACACGCCCGGTCCCCTGGAGAGCCCGAGCTGGCGGAGGCGGGGCGAGGACCCGTGTGGGCGCCGGGAGCCGGCTGGCGCGGGGTGGGGCCGGGCTGCGGATGAGGCGTCGCCCGCCTCCCGGCTGTCCCCGAGTCGGGACAGGCCCCCGCCCGTGCGCCCCGGGACAGACGCGCACGGGAGCGGCATCTCCCCGCGGAGCGGACGGGGGACACGACGATCAGGCCTCTGGGTCCCCGCTGCGGGCACGCGCCCCACTCCCACACTTTTTGCGCCTGGGTTCATGGACCGCTCCGGCCCCCGGCTTCCTGCCGGAGTGCCAACGTGGGGGATCGAGGTAGTGGGCGCCCACACACAGACGCCCAGTTGTCCCCAGGGGTCGGTGGGCTGGCGGGGTATTCACTCTGCAGCGACCCTGTTTCAACCGCTGGATGGCGCTCTGGCGGGGTAGCGGGGGGCGGGGGGAACGACTGCGTTCCAGCGCGGGTCGTTGGGCTTTGGTTCCGGCCTCGGGACAGTCCGGAGCCACGCCCTAGCCAGATGTGCCTCGCCCGGAGCCCGCGCCAAGGGTGACAGACATGCCCCTCCCTGGCCCGCTCAGGACATGCTGTCCTCACAAGCAAATGCGCAGTAAGTTCAGACTGTTCTTGATCTCACATGAAGCAGAGCGTAGGGTCTGAGTCTTTTCAGGACCCATTTTCTTCCCCTTGAGAGCCTTTAGGGGAAACCACCCCACTACCGAGCCCTTGAGACTCTCTGTCTGGGTGCGCCGTGTAAGGGAGGGTCCCCTCTCGCAGTTGCGGACTGGAGAAAGTCTGAATTCCCTAGTTCCCCAGTGCTCATTGTTGCACGACAGTATTTATTTTTATTGGCCTGTGTCAACTACTTGTAATTAACAAAAATCTGTGAATCTTCTGCGAAGGCCCACTTAGGTATGTGAATAAAAATCTTAAAAAGAATAAAACCCACAAAAATTTGTTTAGCGATAACACTGGTAGGGAACAAATTTCAAACATATACAGTTTGAAGAAAGAGCAGTTATTGCCACTTTAAAGGTGGTGGGGGTCCTCAGATTAGATGGTGTGATCCATCCCTGTTAATTTTTAAACATTTTTTTATTTTATGGAACTTCATCATTTTTTAAAATTTTTTATTTAATTTTTTAAAGATTTTTTATCTATTTGGGAGAGAAAGAATGAGAGACAGAGAGCATGAGAGGGAGGAGTGTCAGAGGGAGAAGCAGACTCCCTGCTGAGCAGGGAGCCCGATGTGGGACTTGATCGTGGGACTTCAGGATCATGACCTGAGCTGAAGGCAGTTGCTTAACCAACTGAGCCACCCAGGCGTCCGGAACTTCAACATTTTTTAAGTAGGCTCCACGCCCAGCATGGAGCCCGAGGCTGGGTTAAACTCAGAACCCTGAGATCAAGACCTGAGCTCAAATCAAAAGTCAGATGCTTAAGAGACTGAGCCACCCTGGCGCCCCACTATTGATTTCTTTTTTAACACATGGGCCATCTAGAAGGGCGTTGTTTAATTTCCACATATTTGGAGATTTCCTAAATTTTTTTTTATGGTTGGTTTCTAACTTAATTCCATTAAGTTTGGATAATATACTTGGTATGATTTCAATTTGTGTAAATTTATTACAACTTTTTTATGGCCTTATTTTATGATCTCTGGAGAATTTTCCAAGTGTACTTGAAAATAGTGTATGTTCTGCTTTTGTTAGGTGGAATGTTAGCTTGTAGTTCAAACTGGTTGATCATGTCTCTATGTCTTTTCCATCCTTACTAATTTCTGTCTGGTTGTTCTATCAGTTACTGAAACTTATAATTGTTCAGTGGTCTATTGGTCATGTGTCTGGGGTCTGTTGTTAGTATACATTTTTATTTGATACATATATTTACTATGTATGTATATGTGTGTAGATATCTGGTGTATTGCCCCTTTTATCACTATGAAATGTCCTGCAGAGTTGCAGCCCGACTCTGGCTGGAGCCCTCCACTGTGATGTCATGACCTGAGCTGAAACTAAGTTAGATGCTCAACCGCCTGAGCCACGCAGGCGCCCCTATTACAATTTCTTTTAATATCTATTGTGTCTGATAGTAATTCTGTCCTTCTTAGTCTCTTATGGTTATTGTTGGCATGGTATATCTTTTTTTAAGTTTATTTATTTAAGTATTGTCCAAACCTGACGTGGGGCTCGAACTTATGATGCCGAGATGAAAAGTCCCATGCTCCCTGAACAGGGCCAGCCAGGTGCCCCCCATGGTATATCTTTTCTCATCCTTTTACTTTCAACTTATTGGTGTCTAAGATCTAAAGTGTGTCTTTTATAGAGAGAATTTACTTGGATCTTGCTTTCTAATTCAGTCCAACAGTATGTTACTAATGGATTGCTTCAAAATCAATTACCCCATAACTTAGCACCATAACGTTTTTATGATCTCACACAGTTTCTGAAGTTAGGATCCAGGTGGTTGTGGTTCTGATTTTCCACGGAGTTACCCTCAAACCGTCTGTGGAGTTGCCGTCATCAGAAAGAAGCTTTCGCAAACTCCGGCTGTGGCCAAACCCGCTCATTGCCCCGTTGAGTATGGCTCCCAGGCTAAGAATAGGTTGTACATTTTTAAATAGCTGAAAACAATAAAAAGAATATTTCTTAGGGCGCCTGGGTGGCTCAGTTGGTTAAGCGACTGCCTTCGGCTCAGGTCATGGTCCTGGAGTCCCAGGATCGAGTCCCGCATCGGGCTCCCTGCTCAGCGGGGAGTCTGCTTCTCCCTCTGACCCTCTACCCTCTCGTGCTCTCTATCTCTCATTCTCTCTCTCTCAAATAAATAAATAAATAAAAAGAATATTTCTTAGGGCGCCTGGGTGGCTCAGTTGGTTAAGCGACTGCCTTCGGCTCAGGTCATGGTCCTGGAGTCCCAGGATCGAGTCCCGCATCGGGCTCCCTGCTCAGCGGGGAGTCTGCTTCTCCCTCTGACCCTCTACCCTCTCGTGCTCTCTATCTCTCATTCTCTCTCTCTCAAATAAATAAATAAATAAAAAGAATATTTCTTACCACTGAAAACTATATGGAATTCAAATCTCAGTGTCCATAACTCAGGTTTTATGGGAACACAGCAAGCCTCTTGCGTGTCCATCCTGCCCAATGGCTGCTTTTGTGCTTGGTCAGTGGAGTTCAGTTGTGGTGGAGACTAGATCACCCCCAATGCCTAACATATTCACCATTTGCGGCCGTTACAGAAAAGGTTTGCAACCTCTGCGCAGAAGCCTTGACTTGGACGAGAGGAGCCTCTTCTGGGGAGGTTCACACACTTGGCTGTTGGCAGCAGTTTTCAGTTTCTCATCACATGGGCCATTACACACGACTGTTCGAGGAGCATCTTGACTGCTCCTAGAGGAGCGATCCAGGAGTGAGAGAAGCTGGAGTGTCTCTTAGAACCTAACTTTCTGCCATATTCTTAGTCACACACAGCAACGCAGGTACAGCTTGGGAGGAGAGTTCACAAGGGTGTGAACACCATTGGAGGCCACCTTGTTGGCTGACCACGACATCAGTCTCTGCCTTTTGAATGGAATGTTTATTTCATTTACACTTGATGTAATCATTGAGCTAAGTGCCTTTCCGGCTACCTTGTTTGCTCTTTGTGCTCTCTGTTAATCCTTCACTACCTTCTTTTGTGTTAAACTTAATTTTTTAAAAATTTTTTAAATTTAAATTTTATTTTTTTAAAGATTTTATTTATTTATTTGAGAGAGGGGGAGAGAGAGAAAGAGAGCATAAGCAGGGGGAGTGGCAGGCAGAGGGAGAGGGAGAAGCAGGCTCCCTGCTGAGCGGGGAGCCAGGCACAGGGCTCCATCCCAGGACCCTGGGATCATGACCTGAGCTGAAGGCAGATGCTTAACCAACTGAGCCACCCAGGCGCCCCAACAATTTTTTTTAAAAAGTAGTCTCCATAGGAGCCCAATGTGGGGCTTGAACTCATAACCCTGCGATCAGGGACCTGAGCTGACATCAAGAGTTAGATGTTTAACCAACTGAGCCACCCAGGTGCCTCTATGCCTATTTGTTTTTACACTCTGTTAATCCTTCACTACTTTCTTTTGTGTCAATTTTTAATGAATCATTTAAATACCTCTACTGATTTTTCTTTTAGCAGTACTTTTTGAAAGTAGTTTAAGTGGTCACTCTAGGGATTACAATATATATCTTAACTTATCACAGTCAACTTTATTTTTAGAGATTTTATTTTATTATTATTTTTTAAAGATTTTATTTGACAGAGAGAGATAAAGAGCGAGCACAAGTGGGGGAAGGAGCAGGCAGAGGGAGAAGCAGGCTCCCTGCTCAGGGACTCGATCCCAGGACCCTGGGATCATGACCTGAGCCAAAGGTAGACACCCAACCGAGCCAGCTAGGCACCCAAGATTTTATTTAAAAAAAAAATAAAGATTTTATTTTTAAGTAATCTCAGATGCCCTACTTACCGCAGTCAAGTTTAAGTTAATACTGATTGAATTCCAGTAAAATGTAGCAGCTTTGCTCCATATACCTCTATTTCCCACTCCGCTCTGTGCTATTATTGTCAAATATGATCACATACAGATATGCTGTATACTCTACAATATAGTGTTATAGTCTTCTTTATAAAATATTTATTTTTTTAAAATATTTTATTTATTTATTTGAGAGAGAGAATGAGAGAGAGAGAGCACATGAGAGGAGGGAGGGTCAGAGGGAGAAGCAGACACCCTGCTGATCAGGGAGCCCGACGCGGGACTCGATCCCGGAACTCCAGGATCGTGACCTGAGCCGAAGGCAGTCACCCAACCAACTGAGCCACCCAGGCGCCCTCCTTATAAAATATTTTAAAAGAAATCAAAAGATGAGCACCTGGCTGGCTCAGTCAGGAGAGCATGTAACTCTTGACCTTGGGGTCATGAGTTCGAGCCCCATGTTGGGTGTAGAGATTCCTAAGAAAAACAAAATAACAACTAAAAACTAAAAAAAAGGGGGGGGGAAGAAATCAAAAGAAGTAAACAGAAAAAATATATTTATACAATTAAAAAGTATTTATCTACATACTTATAATCCCTGGGTCTCTTTATTTCTTCCTGTGGATTTGAGTTTCTGCTTGAGGTCAGTTTCTTTCATCGTGAAGGACTTCCTTTAGCATTCCCTAGAGAGCAGATCTGCTAGCAATGAATTCTCAGCTTTTGTTCATCTGGGAGTGTCTTTATTTTGCTTTTGTTTTGAAATACAGTTTTGTTGAATATAGAATTATTTGTTGACAGTTTTATTTTTCTCTTGGCAGCACTTTGAATCATTCGACTGTTTTCTGATCTTCACCGTTTCTACAAAAAGTTAGCTGTTAATTGTACTGCTGTTCCCTTCTACGTGATGAGCTGTTTTCACTTCCTGCTTTCAAAGCCTTCTGTGTCTTTTATTTTGTTCCAGCAGTTTGTCTATGATGGGTCTAGGTGTGGCTCTCTTTTGTTTATCCTACTTGCAGTTCATTGAGCTTCTTGGATCTATAAATTAATGCCTTTCAAGAACTTTAGTAAGTTTGCAGCCATTATTTCTTCAAACATGTTGCAGCATCGATAGAAAACTAAACATGACCTCTCCGGCTCAGCCCCTCTCCCTGAGCCCCTCCAGGCTCTGTTACTGATTTGTCTCTCCACTGCTATCCCTGGGACATGCCACCCTGGGCAGTCACTGCCCAGGGAGAGAGGGGAGCAAAAGGGAGAAGTAGTCTCCACTCCCATGTGGCCGAGAAGGAGGAAAAGAACATCTCAGACTGGAGGCTGCCCAGGTCAGCCCTCTTCCATTCCCAACCTCCCCAGGATCCACCCCAGGTCTGAGGGCCCACAGAACATCCTTGGTCAGTGTTTGCCAAAGCAGTTCTACCGCTTTGATCAATTCGCTTTGATTCTATCATCTGGAGAGTTTAAGAAAAATATTGGTGCCTAGGACCCACTACTGATTTACCAGGCTAGAACATACAAAATTGTTGGCCTTTACCTTACAAAAAATGGCATATGCACATGGTTTAACCTAATAATGGTCTGGGATTGGGGTCAGGTATCAATATTTTTTAAAAGCTCCCCAGATGATTGGAATGTACAGCCAAGTTTGAGAACTAAATTAGAAGAATAAATGAGACAGTAAACAGAATGAATGAACGAATGAATGGACACTGAGAAATGCCTGAATAATGGATATGTGAACGAGTGAGTGAGTGAATAAAGGAATGTATGAATGGGTGAATGAAAGTGTAAATAAATGAACACATGATTGAATCAACCAAGACTGACTTGGTAAGAAGACAATTGGATGGATGGCAGATGGTTAGTGGACAGATGGAGAGATGAAATGATAAACGAATGGACAAAGAGTTGGAAATGGATGGAAGAATAGATCCTAAAGAGATGGATGGATGGCAGGATAGAGAATGAAGAAATGGATGGCCGAACAGAGGGATGAATGGGCATATGGAGGATGCATGGATGGATGTGATGGAAGACAGAGAATTGCATGGACAAATGGAGGGATGAAGAGATGAATGCATGAGTTGGGTATAAGGATGGCTGAATGGATAGAGAGATGTATGAGTAAATAAATCAATGGTTAGAAATTTGAATGGATGGGTGGTCAGATGGATGGTTGAAGGGTTGGCTGGCGAATGAGTGCACAAATAGTTGGATAGGTGGAGAGCGAGATGGACAGGTGAGTGGATGAATGGTTGTTTTTTTTTTTTTATGTTTTAGATTTAAAAAAAATTTTTTAAAGTAATCTCTACACCCAACGTGGGGCTCAAACTCACACCCCTGAGATCAAGGGTTGCTTGCTTCACCAACCAAGCCGGCCAGGTGCCCCTGGTTGGATGTTTAGATGGATGGATGAACATATACTCGGATGGATATTTGGAGAGACTGATGGATGTTGAGATGGATGAATGGAGAGGCAGATGCATGGACGGGTGGAAAAACGGGCTGTATAGCAATTAAGTATGTAGTCAGACCACCTTGATTTGAATCCTCGTTCTGCCATTGATGGGCTGTGTGACCTTGTGCAATTTGCTTTATTTTAATTTGCCTGTTTCCTCATCTTTTCCAGAGGGAAGATAATAATAGTTCCCACCTCCTGGTATTTTTGTGAGGATTGAACAAGCTGATACGCATAAATCCCAAGATCTGTGTCTGGGATATTCCTAAATTTATTGTGATGGGAGGATGGATGGACAGTTGACTGGGTGGCTGAATGGACAGTGTATGATTGAATCAAGGAAGGAAGGAACCAGTGAGGGAGGTGAATGGAGTCATGGACACTCATGAGACACCCACAGGCATTTTATTAGGGGCTTAGAAGGGAGTCCTGTGGGATCTTTCCCTCTGTATTCCCAAGAGTTATAGCCCTGGGAATAGCTCAGACTTGGACATAGGACAAGGTGACATCACCCTGGATCTCCAGCACGTCCACATTCTGGAAGGCCGAAAGGCGATGGGAAAAGTCGAAGAGGTGCTGGCCGTTGGCGTACACCTTGAAACGATCTATGCCACAGCGAATGGACAGCTGCAGAGAGAGGGCAGGCTTGAGGCCAGGGCCGGGACAGAGGCTTTGGAGGGAAGGGGGGTGGGAAGGGGACCCCAGACTCACATCAAAGAATTGCCCAGGACCAAATGGGTTGTAGGAGATCTTCTTGTCCTCGGATCCCCATGAACCATTCAGATAGCTGTTCCGAATCACGAGACCCTCGGTCAGACGAGGGTTAATGTGCAGAGCCAGGTCCCCTGAGGATCCCACCATGAAATTGATGACAAAGCTGAAGGCAGAGAGGGACGGAGGTGGGAGTCAGATGGGGGTCAGTGCCTGGTTCTCCAAGGGAGAGAAGGGGATTGGGGCCCAGACTCCCGGGTCCGAGGGAGGAAGGGGGCTGAGGATTCCCACCTAAGTCTAGACTGTGTACCTCTTGCCCATGGGGGGTATGGAGCCCTTGATTATGATGGTTCTTCGGGCTGTAAGACCTCCTCGCAAACTCTTCCTAAATGGCACAGGCTGTAGGAATAGAACACGAGGTCCTATTATCTCTCAGGTCACCAGAAGCCAGGCAGGGACAAATTTTCAGAGAGGGGTGCCCACTCCTAGGAAATGTCCCCAACCCCCATCCCCTCCCCACTCCGGCCACCAACTCCATCCTCTCCCTACCTCCCAACCCAACACCCTCTGCCCACTCTATTTCCCACCCTCTCAGGGCCCCAGTGGTCAGGGCCCCCTACCCACTATCAGTTCCTGCTTCCCCACAAACTGCCTGCCACAGAGCCCTAGACTCCCACAGGACACTTTACCGGGTTGAAGATTGGGGGTCCCTCCATGGTCTGTGAAGTGAGGAAGGAGAGATATTAGTCTATAACATTCCAAAAATATTTACGGCACACTGACTACATGTAGGCATATCTCTGGGTGCTGGATGGGCGTGACTGGGCCCAACCTCCTTGGCCCCCGCACTTCTCTCCACCCCTCTCCCCCACCAAATGGCCCCACAACCCTCCCACTTACAGGCAGCTGACTTGGCTATTGGTGGGTGTGTCCAGGACCCGACAGAAATGGTGAGGGGGGCTGGGGGTCTTTCGGCTGCCCCAAGACCTCCTCATGCCACCAAACCCCCACGACGAGGAGAAACCCACCGCCCATCAGCAGGTACTTACTGGGTACATTGGAGTTCCCGTGGATGTCTGTGGACACAAAGACAATGTGTGAAGGCAGGCAGGCAATGAGGGAGACCCCGAATTAGGGCTTGGAGGGTGTCAAGGATGCGTGCCCAGGGCAGCCCCACCACCCCCGTCCGAAGGAACTCTGGGGTCAAAGAGTGGCACCCGGTGGCTTATGAGTGGAGAAGAACTTGCCATGTTTAGGAAGTTGCCATGAACTCCAGTGAGCAGTGACACTCCACCCCTTTAGGGCAGGCCTGGTAAATTCTATTCACCTCCCTTATCCTGCTTCCGCCTGTCTGGGAGCCCTCATCCGCCCCCTCCTCCCCCTCAACCTGGCAGCTTCCATAAAACGGATACTCCTCAGAACATCCTCCCAGCCCACACCACAGATGGCCCTGCTCACCTCACCCCCAGTCAGGGTTTGGCCCTCACTCTGGGTGCCCAGCACTGGGGCAGTGAGCAGTGGTGCCTTTCCCCTGCCGGCCTCAGGCTCTCTCAAGTCTGCGTGTGTCTCTGTTCCTGTCTCTCAGTCTCCGTCTCTCCCTGTCTTTGTTCTGTTTTCTCTTGTCTGCACTTTCTCACGGGTGCGGGCTTGGAAGGCCTCCCCCGCCCCCGGAAGTTATATCCACTTGTTCTCTCGGTCCCCTCCTCTTCCCAGGGATCTCCTTGACTTCCGTTTTACACCAGCGATTCTGAAGGCCCTTCCAGAATAGCCTTATTGTCGTTTGTCTTGTTCAAATGCACGGATGAAGTACCAGGGGCAAATGAACACCCACAGGCCCGTGGCTCCTCGCGGATGAAGACATTCCATTCCTGCTGGTCCCTCATCTGGGCACAGACCCCCGCCTGCCACTCACCAGCTCCGTGACCTCAGGCAAGTTACTTAAGCTCTCTGTGCCTCAGTTCCCACATCTGTCCCAATGGGCCCGAGGAGCATCGAGCGTGGGGGTGGGGGGGCCTTACGGGTTGGGGAGCGTAGTGCCCGGCGGGAGTCCAGGGCTGCTGTGGCTGTTTTGGTGGCTGTTTGTTCACCGTGGCCCTGGGAGTGGGGTTTCTAGGTCGCCGGGGGCATGTCTGCTCCCAGCCATTTCCAGGGGAGTGTGGGCCCGTCCCCAGGCTCGCCCACAATTGCTGTTGTGCGCTTTTCTCTGGACAGCGCTTCCCACAGGCGTGGGCGGCAGCTCGTTGTGATTCGAAGTGACTTTCTTGGTGACTAGCCATGTTAGGCAGTTGCTCGTGAACTTGCCTGTGGTTCCTGTGGCTTTTGTCCCTTCTTATCTTGGCTTCCTGACTCAGCTTACGGCTTTCCTCCTCCTCCAGGAAGCCCTTCCCTTGGCCTCCCCAAACCTCGGGTCTGTCTCCCAACCCTGCCCTGACCGCTTGCAGCCAACACCATCTGGTGAAATGTCTTCCCAGTGGACGGGGTCGGTTGCCTCTGGGTCTGCGGCCCCTGGCACAGAGCAGGTGCTTGGGACACAGATGAATGTGGGCCTGGATTAAGGAAGGAAGCAGGGCGCATAAGAGAGGGAGACACCACACACTTGGCCTGGGCGCGGGTTGCCACCGATGAAGTTGACTGACTGAAGCTCCACGTCCCCATCCACTTGCAGGTGAGTGACCATCTGTAGGGGCAGCCGGTGCCCGAACTCGTAGAAGGGATTTCCATTTACCACCACCTGGGGGGCAGGGGTAAGGTCAGAGTCAGCACCCAGGACCTTGGGAAGGCAGACACAGGAAGTTGGGAGCAACGATCATTTTAACTTGGACTCCAGTCTTGGAGGGCAGCTGGATAGCCACAGAATGGGGAATCTTGGAGTCCACAGGTCAGAGGTCAAGCCAGGGTCAAAAGTCAGCTCACAGACTGGTGGATGGAAGAGAACAGAGAATTTAGTCAGGATAGCGATCCAGAGAGGATCCAGTCTGAGTCCTGGTTTTGGCACCAAATGAGTTGGGCCTGAGTCTAGCTCTGACGTGTGGGCTGTCTGACCTCAGGGAAGTCACTTTCCCTCCCTGAGCCTCTGTTTCCCCATCTGTAAAATGGAGGCTGGCTCTGGGATTGTTGGGAACATTAAAACCCAGCCAGGCATGTCAAAGGTGTTCTGGAAATCCTCTGTAGAGCCTTGCCTAATTATCTTTTTTAAGATTTCATTTATTTATTTGAGAGAAAAAGAGAGAGAAAGCATGGGCAGGGGCAGAGGAGAGGGAGAAGAAGACTCCCCGCTGAGCAGGGAGCCCGATGTGGGGCTCGATCCCAGGACCCCGGGACCTGAGCTGAAGGCAGACGCTTAACCGACTGAGCCACCCAGGCGTCCCTCAGCTCAGGTGTCGATCTCAGGGTTGTGAGTTCAAGCCCTGCTCTGGGATCCACGCAGTAAAATAAAATAAATAATAATAATAATAAAATAAAGACACAGGAAGAGATCCAGGCCAAGAGAAGTCAGGATAAAGGCCACCCCTGGGGACAAGGGGACTGGAAGGGACACGAAGGGTTTCTGAGGCTGGAGGGCTTGTTTCTGGACCTAGGTGCTGGTTCCACAGGTGTGTGTTCTCTCGATGGAGAACCAGTGGGCTGGGTACACATGACCCACACTCTTCAATAACCCATTAAAAAAAAAATGCTCGCATAATAGTAATCAATCACAACGTGTGGGCCTTATCCGCGGCCTGGTTCCAAGTGTAGAAACGTTAAGGTATTTATGAGGTGACCGGACCTCTGACTGGATGTGGGGGCGCTGAGGAAGAACGGTCAGTGTTTTCCGTGGGGCAGTGGCATCCCGTGCTCCCGAAACTCGAGATATTTCTGAATAACACGATATCTGGGATCAGCTCTTACATCCTATGCAAGGGGAAGGGTGAGGGAAGGGCGACAGCAAAGGGATCCAGAGCTGGCCAAGGAGCCCAGGGGTGGCTGTGCCCTCTCTTCCTTCTGTGTGTGTTCAGAGTTCACCAGAAAAAAGAGCGAAAATAGGGGTGCCGGGGTGGTTCAGGTCATGATCCCAGCCAGGGTCCCGGGATCTAGCTCCCCCGTCTGGCTCCTTGCTCATCCGGGAGCCTGCTTCTCCCGCTCGCTCTGCCCCTCCCCCGGCTCATGTGTGTGTGTGTGCGCGCGCGCGCTCGCTCTCTCCCAAATAAATAAATAAAACCTTTAAAAAAAAATAGCAAAAATATGCATTTTGCAAGAACACGGATGAACAAGGTGAGACACATGAAACATTAGAAAGCTATCCCCCGTGGAGGAACAGGAATGAGAAACAAGAGGAAAAAGAATGTTTTTTAGGAGAAAAAATGTTTTACTAGGCAGGCAGGAAGGAAGGAAGGAAAAGAGAAAAGTGAGGTAGGAAGGGTGCTGGGGAGAGGGAAGGGGGAGGAGGGAGGAGGGGGCAGGAGGAGGGGCAGGGACAGATGGAAGAAAGGAAGGGGGGAGGGAGGAGGGGAGGCCCCGCCCCCGAGTTCAGACCTTGTAGTGCTCCGCCTGGACCATGAACACCAGCTCGAAGGCCGCGCCCTTGCGGAAGGGCATGCTCCGCTTCTTCTCCTCGCTGCCCCACTTGCCGCCCTGTTGCGAGTTGAAGACCACCTTGTCCCAGCCATCAAAGCGGGGATTGAAGTGCAAGGCAATGTCCGCTCCATAGTGCTGCCCCGCCGCGAAGTTCACGGAGAACCTGGCGGGACAGGAAGGGCTGTTCCCCCTGGCCCCACCTGCCCGAGCATGGGGCCCTCCTCCGGGAAGCCCTCCCAGACCTACCCTGTTCCAAGGTCCTGGAACACGTCCTTGAACTGGGCGGGAGGGGGGTGGGGGACGAGGACAAAATGGGACAACACGCTTGGCCACTGTTGACACTAGAGAGGAGGGGGTGGGCAGTGCCCCTGAAGTCCAGGAGGCAGATTCCCTCGGCAACGCATTCCCTCTCTCCCTTTCCTTACCAGGCCACCGCACCGCCCCCGCCCCCGCCCCCAGCCTCTCCCAACTTGGCAACTGGGACTCCTGCATTTCCTCGTTCACCATGGGCCAGACACTGTCCTAGGAACCCTACATATATCTGTTCAGGTCTCTCTGCTGCCACCCTCACCCCCCAGGCCACTCCCCACCTGCAGCCAGGGGGACCCAATGAACAGCCAAGTCAGAGCACCACCCACACCTCCCCTCATGCCAGCATCCCTGAAGTTATTCTAACTGGGCAAACACACACCTGCCTCAGGGCCTTTGTACGGCTGTTCTTGCTGCTGGTCTCTACTCCCAGGCTCCCTCCCTCCCCTCCTTTGAGTCTTTGCAGAAGTGTTCCCTTCCCAGAGAGGCCTTCCCCAGCTACCCTATTTAAAGGGACAATGCCACGCCCCTCTCCCCCCCACATCCATTCCCCATCTCCTTTCCCTATTTATTTGTTTCCATAGCACTTAGCACCACTGGACCCTGCACATTTGATTTTTATCTTTCATCTCTCCTCTCTACTAGGATGTCAGCTCCATGTGAGCAGAGATCTTGGTCCTGGGGACTGCTCTGTCCCCAGTGGCTAGGCGCATAGTGAGCATTCAGTGAGCAAAAAAAAAAAAAAAAAAACCACGATGAATAAAGAAACAACAGTGCCAGGGTGCTGGGTGGCTCAGTCGTTAAGCATCTGCCTTCCGCTCGGGTCATGATCCCAGGGTCCTGGGATCAAGCCCCGCATCAGGCTCCGGGCTCAGCAGGGAGTCTGCTTCTCCCTCTGCCCCTCCCCCTGCTTGTGCTCTATCTTTCTCTCTCAAGTAAATAAAATCTTTTTTTTAAAACTTTTTTTTTTTTTTAAGATTTTATTTATTTATTTGACAGAGAGAAACGGAACGCAAGCAGGGAGAGTGGGAGAGGGAAAAGCAGGCTTCCCGCCAAGCAGGGAGCCCGATGTGGGGCTCGATCCCAGGACCCTGGGATCATGACCTGAGCCGAAGGCAGACCCCTCAAATAAATAAAATCTTTAAAAAAAAGAAAGAAAGAAAAAGAAACAAAACAAAACCCCCAAGAGTGCCTTGAGGTCAGTTCAATTGTCATCACCATCTTAAGGCCATAAAAAAATGCTAAGACTTATTTTAATGCTTCCTTTCCAGTTCTCCATGTTTTACACGTTGAATCTTCAAAGCAATCCCATCTTACAGATGGGAAAAGAAAGCACGGAGAGGTTTCCCAGTCACACAGTTGGGCAGTCACAGAGCTGGCTGGCTCTGAGCCTATGATCTGAATTCTCTGAATTCTTGTCATCACACCCAGCAGTTCCAATCCGACATCCCAACTCCTGGGCTGCCTCTGGTGGTGAGCCTCCCTCACTGCCCTTCCCCCCCAGCCCCCAGGCTCCCCGTTCCTGTCACCATGCCCTGGACGTCCCAGGCTCGGGCTGGTCTTTGGCTATTGGGTACAGTGGCCCAGAGCCGCCTTCCCAAGCATGGTGGAGGAAGGGGAGAAGGCCTCCTGCATTAGGGATGGAAGCCCCTCTTTGTGGCACCCCCCAGCCTCACCTGGCATGGGGGGAGTACCTTACCTCTTCATGTGCTCGCTGGCCACTCCTTGGATGTACACAGACATTCCCACACTGAGACCACCCGGGATGGGCTGGTTGTAGGGCAGAGTCTGTGGAAGGGGACTGGTAAGCCTTTACCCCTCATCGAGAAGCCCCCCACTCTCATTCGCAAGGGAGAGGACACCAGGGGTGAGGGGTCAGCGTGAAGGGGAGGAGGGCCAAGAGTCAGGGATGGACATAAATAGCCCGAGGGTCAGGGTAGGAGCAAATCAAGCTTCAGGGCTAAATCAGACTCCAGGGTGGGGTGGGCGCCTCCAAGGATCACCCTCCAAGGGGTGAGAGTAAACTGGTGTGTGGGGGGTCAGGGTGGAGCTAAGCCGGGACCCGTGGTTAGGTCCTGGGTCGCTGTCTTACCGGATTGTAAGTGGGCTGGTAGCCAGGTGCAGGCATATAGGCCATCTTGAGAGGCTGGGCTGGTGGCTTGTCCAGTGAGAAGAGATGCAAAGCAGGCAATGATGGCGGGCGGCAGGTGGTGGGTGGCTCTTATACCTGAGGAAAAGGGAGTGGCTGGCTAGGCAGGGTCCGTGGGGTCCCTCTTCTGGGTATCCCAGGCTCACATCTTTTTCTAGGGCACCCCCTTGTGTCCCTTCTCTTGCTAGCCTCACTGGTCACCAGCCAGAACCCAGATCAGCTGGGCTAGGCCGGGGGTTGGGGTGGGGGGGGGACACACCCAGATCAGGCCAGAGCGGGGTGGGGGGGGGGCTGGGGGAGGGGAAGGGATACTTTAGGCCCTTCTGCAAAGAGGAAGTGCTACTGAACTTTGGGCCTGCCAGGGCCTTATCAGAGCCCATAAAAGCCTGCCCAGACCTTTGTTAGCAGAGGGAGGATAAGACCAGGAGGGTTGCACAGGGCAAGGCTGCAGGAGTGGCCCATGACAGATGGGCAACAGAAGGAAGTAAAAGCAGGGAGGAACGGGGTGCTCTGGACACCCCTAGGAACTAGGAAAGGACCTACATTTATTGCATGCCCACTACTTGCCCGACCCATGTACATTAGACTGTAGCTATGGTTTCAGTCATGATTTCTGGAGCCAGAGGTTCTGGGTTCAAATCTTGCCTCGGCCCCTTCCTGGCTGTTTTGTCTAGGCTCAGTGTCTTAACCTCAATTTCCCCATTTGCCCATCTGTAAAATGGGGATTTTAATAGTATAAACCTCATAGAAGCCTGGAAAGGAATAAGATAATAAATGCTCAGAACAGGACTTGGAGTAGAGAAGGCACTAAATTCATCCTTGGCCTCTTGCACTTATTCCAAATATAAACCCAGGAGGTTGGGATTATATGTGGACATGAAAACGTGAAGTTTAAAGAAATGAGGCAGGGGTACCTGGTTGGCTCAGTTGGTAGAGCATGTGACCCCTTAACCTCAGGGTGGTGAGTTCAAGCCCCACCTCGAGGCTGAAGCCTACTTAAAATAAAAAATAAAATAAAATAAAATGAAGCAGTTGGCCCAAGATTGGGTAGCAATGGAACTCTAGCCAGACTGGGGCATCAGATCCCACTAGGCTGTACAGTGAGTGGGTGCCTGGCAGAGTGAACACCGCCCTCAAGTCTGGAGCAGGCAGGGAGACCATCTGGAGCTTTCCAGCCCAGAGGAAGCCACATGACTTTTGCTTGCTCAAGCCCGCCAGACTTTTTATGGGCCCTGGCCCGCCCACCGCCAGCTCTGAATGGGCAGCGCCTGCTGGCTCCCGTTCCCATTGGTCAGATCTCCATCCCCAACCTTCAGCACAGCAGGCAGTCCTGGGAGCCCCCAGGGATGTCGTACCTCCTTTCTGCCTCTCCTTTCTTTCCAATAAAGACACCGGGTGCATTAAGTTGCTTTATTGTTCGGGTTAAGATAAGGCCCTGAGCATGAGGAAATCAGGGTTATAAGGTTAGAAACGGGGGAGACCAAGGGAGAAAGCACCAGGCGACCATCTTTACTAATTCTCCTTCTCTATGGATGAGGAAATGGGCATGAGGTGGGGCAAGGCCAGGCCCTGGGCCTCAGCAGCTCTCAGAGCTTGGAGAAGGTGACGTTCTTCAGTTCCTGCTTCTCCATGGCAGCCTGGACAGACTTCACGATGTCCTGGGTTTGCAGCATGCTCATGTTCCAGGTGGCCTGGATAAAGAGGGTGGAGTGTAATGGCAGGGGCGGGGAAAGATTGGAGTTGGGCCAATGAAAAACAGGGAAGAGACAGCAGCGCACCAATCAGAGGACAAGGCCCGCAGAGGGTTGCTGGGCCCTGATTGGCCGCTCTGGGATCAGCGAAGGGCTGTGATTGGCTGGCCGCAGAGCCTTACCATGTAGTTGAGGCTCTCGGCCACCGAATGGTTGCGGGAGTAAACCAGGTTGATCTTGGTGCCCTGCACTGCCACGGGGCTCTTGGTGGAAATCTCGGCCGCCAGGGTGAAGGCTGCATCAAGCATGCCCACCTTGTCTGGGAACACCCGGCTGCGGATGAAAGGAACCAGTCACTGGGGAGGGCGGGGAGGCGGCAGTCTGCGAGGGAGTCTCGCTCACGGAGGAGTAAGTGGCCAATCACAGTAGAAAGCAGAAAACCGCCCAGTGAAATGAACCAATCAGAGCAGGGCACTGGACTGCAGCCTGAAGAACTGACCACCCAGAGAAAGTAAGTACCCCTGTAAGGCCGCGAGGATACACCCGGACCCAAAGGGCTCTGCCCAGGTTGCCCCTGAGCTCTTAACCCGCACAGGCCGCGGCTCCTACCTGACCAGCCCACTGCCCAGGGCCTCATCAGCCATCATTTTGCGGGAAGTGAAGGCCAGCTCGTTGACCAGGCTGCAAGAGGGCAGGGCAGGATCAGGGGATTGCAGTCATCCTGGGCCCAGGAGATGCCCTGCGGTCCCCTCCCGGGCTCCTCCACCCACCTCTGGTTTCCGATAACTTTGGGCAGTCGCTGCAGCGTTCCCACATCAGCCGCCAAACCTATGTCCACCTCCTGGGAGGAGCCATCATGTCAGTACTTGGTTCCTTCTACCTAGAACACAGCCCACCTCCCAATTCCTCTGCCTTCCCAACTCGTCGAGGTTGGTCACATCTATCCGCAGAGGGAAGCCCTCAAACCCTGTCCATCTGACCCCCTCACTGCCACGGGGCTCTTGGTGGAAATCTCGGCCGCCAGGGTGAAGGCCGCATCAGGCATGCCCACCTTGTCTGGGAACTCCCAGCTGCGGATGAAAGGATGGGCTCCATCCTGCCTCGGGCCCTCTCCAGCACTGATCCCAGCAGCAACCCCAGCCTCCTCACCCCCATACCTTTACTCACTCCAAACCCCACATGGATTGCAATGGCCTATCCTTGACTTCCTTCATGGCCAAAGCATTACCTTTTTTTTTTTTTTTTTTAAGATTTATTTATTTATTTGAGAGAGAGAGAGCAGGGGGAAGGGCAGAGGGAGAGGGAAAATCCCCAGCAGACTCCCCGCTGACCTCGGAGCCCAATGCATGGAGCTCAATCTCATGACCCTGAGCCGAAATCAAGAGTTGGATGCTTAACCGACTGAGCCCCCCAGGGGCCCCCGAAGTGTTACTTTTTCAGGTTCAATTCTGACTAACTCTTCCACGAAGCCCTCCCTTCTCACTCTCACCCCCACCCCCTTAACCTGCTCTGTTGCCGCTCTGCGCCTGCCCTGCCACGTGTCGCCCACCTCTAAGCAGGATCCGAGGAAGCAGCTCAAGATGGCTCACCTTCACCTGGAAGAAAGCATCCTGGGCACAGTACCGGATGTCACAAGCAGTGATGAGGTCCACGCCTGCAAGGGGGAGGCCAGGGGCATCAAACTATCACAAGGACCGACCCCCCCTCCCAGGTGATGGGGTTGCGCCTCTGGGCAGGGTTTAACTAGCAACTGATCTGAGACTGGAGGTCACTGGTTGAGGCAGGGAGGCAGCAGCAGCTAGAGTGAGTGCCCGGATGGGTGGTGGGTAGCTCAGACTCACCCGCACCAACGCAGGCCCCATGGATGGCGGCGATCACCGGCTTCGGGCACTGCAAGGGAACAGGAAGGGTGGGGTCAGGGTTGGTCCAGGAGGGATGGACAGGGTGTGGGGAGGTGCCCCGCCAACCCCCCAAAGAACCTTCTCGATGACGCTGAAGGTCTCTTGGTATCTGCTGATGAGGCTACGGAGGTACCAGCTGATGCGGGCCACATCATCTCCATGGGGCTGAAGGATTTCTGAAGCGATGTCCGTAAGGTCAATACCTGGTAGGGAAGCATGAGGAGGCTCATGTAGCTGCCCAGGCACCCCCTTCTCCTGTCCCCCCCACCACTGCCCCAACTAGAGGTCATAACTCAGACTTAGCAGATTCAAACCCCCAAACCACCACAGTGGAAAAGCTGCTCATGCAAGATCTAGCGAGGGATTGCATACGGGGTGTGAAATAAATAAAAGCTAACATTTATAGGGTCATTACTCACTTTATCCTCACAATAAGCCTATGAGGTGGGTCCTCTTACTATCTCCATTTTACTGGGGGGGTAAACTGAGGCACATGACGTTTAAGTCACTTGCCCAAGGTCACACCAGCTTGTGAGTAGTGGCACTGGGATTTTAAGCCCAGACCCATGCACTGGCTCCAGAGGTCGTGCTTTTCACCATCATGCCAGGTGGTAGAAGAGACAAGGGTTTTGGCCTGAGTCAATGGTGGTAACATTTCCTCAGGAAGACTCGAGATGAAGCAATTTCTGTGGGCTCCAACTGCAAGACGATCCCAAATCTAACCTTTCCTCCACTAATCACTCTCCCGGACGCCGCACTCTGGCTAAAACAGTTTACCCTGGTCTCCCTGCTCCCAGCCCTGCCCTGGCCGTTCCCCACACGCGGCCAAATGACCTCGTGAGCACGTCAGGGCCTCCTCTCCCCTCCCACCTCACTTATTTGGAAGAGAATACAAGGTATGTGCCAAGACCTCACCAGCCCTCCTGAACTCCGTTTCCAGCCTGTTCCTTTGGGCACACAGGCCTCCAACAGCTGTATCAACACCACCACACAGTCCCTTCCTAGGGCCTTGTTTTTCTACCTACAACAGCCCCTCCTTCAGTGATGGTCAGAAGACCGATTCCAGGGGCGCCTGGGGGGCTCAGTCAGTTAAGGTCTGCCTTCGGCTCAGGTCATGATCCTGGGGTCCTGGGATCGAGCCCCGCATCGCGCTCCCTGCTCAGCGGGGAGTCTGCTTCTCCCTCTCCCTCTGCCCCTCCCCACCTGCTTGTGTTCACTCTCTCTGTCAAATAAATAAAATCTTAAAAAAAAAAAAAAAAGAAAGACTGGCTCCATCTTTCCGTTCAGGTCACAGATCAAAGGTCACCTCCTCTGAGAGCCCCATCACCCCCTACCTCCCTCTCTGTCTTACCTCAGTCCCTGCCCTCTCCTTATCACATAATTGTGTGCTTATCTCGTTTAGTGCCTGTCTCCCCCTCTAGGACGTGAGCTCCAGGAGTGGAGTTTCTTTCTGTCCACTACTGCATTCCCAGTGCCTCAACAGAGCCTAGTATGCAGCAAGTGCTCAATAAGTGGACAACACAGACAACACTGAGCTGCCCTTCAATGGGAGGACGGATGAATAAGTAAATACATTTTGTCTGGTGGTGACAAGGGCTGAAAGAAAATTACAGCAGGGACATGGAATGGAGTGTGTTAGGGTGTGTGCGTGCAGTGAGGGCTGTTGCCATATTAAATGGGGTGGTCAGGGGGCGCCTGGGTGGCTCAGTCAGTTAAACAACTGACTCCTGGTTTTAGCGCAGGTCATGATCTCAGGGCCATGAGATTCAGCCCTGCGTTGGGCTGGGCGCTGAGAGTGGAATCTGCTTGGGACTCTCTCTCCCTCTGCCCCTCCCTCTTCTTGCTCTCTCTCTAAAATAAAGAAATAAATCTTAAAAAAATAATAAATGGGGTGGTCAGGGACCCTCTCACTGAAAAAGTGACTTTTTTTAGAGAGTGCTTGCACGAGCAGGGGTGGGGGTGGGATGGGAGAGGTGGAGGGGCAGAGGGAGAGGGAGAGAATCTTAAGCAGGCTCCATACTTAGCAGGAGCCATCTCACAACCCTGAGATCATGACCTGAGACAAATTAGAGTCGGATGTTTAACCAACTGAGCCACTCAGGCGCTCCTGAAAAAGTGACCTTTGTGTAAAGATCTGAAGAAGAAGAGGGAGGGAGCTATAGGGATGCCTGAGATCAGAGAGCTCCAAATGTCAGGAAGAGCCGGTGCAAGCAAGGGCCCTGTGGTAGGAATGCCCCTGATCTGTGTGAGGAACATGGAGGACGCAGGGATCTAGGTGACGGGGCAGACTGTGCGGGGCCTCGCAGGCCAGGGGGCGGACTTTGGCTTTTAGTCTGAGGGAGACCTTGCTATGAGGTGGTTCTGAGCAGAATCATCCCTCACTTTCTTCCTCTTGGGGTTAATCATTCTCATCCTTTTGCCTCTGAACAATGCTATCAGACAAACCTGAAAAACCATTCCCACATTTGGCCACACCCCCGGCCCTCTGGGGCTCCGCCGCCTCCCCAGCTTGTTTAAATGAGAGAGACCTGAGGATTTTTGACTCAGGGTAGAGCTGAATTTCTGCGAGGTAAATATCGGTAAGACAGGACTCCCCTGTGTGACCTTGGCCGGGCGACTTCATCCTCTGGGCCTTTGGTTTCTTCTCCGGAAAGTGAGGGTAAGACCCTCCCTAGAGCTGATGGAGATGCAAGGATGGGAGGAGACAGAACCCCAGAGGCCCTTCTCTCGACTATTCAGCCTGCCAGCACGTCTGTGAAGCCTGTGTGACTCAACGGAACCCACGTGGGCTCCCAGAACAAGCCCAGCTTGGCACTTTGAGACACCTCCTTTCACTGGCTTTTCTG